CAATCAAGATATATTATAATTTAAATTTTCTGTTTTTTGTTGAATTATCATTATAATACGGTGTTGAAATTATATTAAATGCATTGTGATTAAAATAAAATACAGTTGTTAAAAAATGTTTTTAACAACTGTTCTTTTTTTTTTTTCATTTCAATCGAAAATTCTTTTAAAGAAATTGAGTTTTTAGTAAATAATTGGAGTTGGCGATTTAATTTTTATTTTTCGACAAGACTTTAATTATATCATTAATCGGTATAAGTGATTTAAAGGAAAATTCCAATCTCAGGTTTTCGAAGAATCCAGGTACTAGTAAAATAAAAATGATTTATAAAATTGATTATTGTGTGACAAAACTTCAAAAATTCTTATTTTTCCAAAACTATCAAATCTATTTTAATGTTCATCAGTCACAATGGATTAAAAGGTTTTTCCGTGTGTAATTTGGCCTATATAAAATAAACGAATTAATTTACTTTATTATAAAAATACACATATACGTATATCTAATTAATAGGCTATTTTTTTAAATCAAATTCATTCAAGATTAGTGTAACTAATAAGTTTTATGTTCGTGTTATTTTTTGTGCGCTTATGTTCCATTCTTCAACACCTGACGATCATTGGTTGAGTTTAGTCACACTACTCAGCCAGTTTAAATCATGAAAAACTGACAAATGTTGACTCGGTATGTGCGTCAACTTCTCAGTGTTCAATATTTGACGATCGTTGGTCATAAAGTTTGCCTACACTATTACGCCAATATGGAAAATAAAGGTCTAGGTACGTGGTAATATGTTGAGCTAATGTTTAAACCTAACTCCAGTCTCTAATATTTCACAAACATTGGCCATATTTGTTGCCGTACACTTACCTATATGAAATCTTTGTCCAAATTTACATTTATCTAACTTAAATTCAAGAGAGAATTATATTAAAAATTAATAATTACGATTGATTGTTAGCCATCGATCAACTTGAACCATAAACTATATCCAATATCTTTCAGGAATGGACAGCTTCTTATATTTAAAATATATTAAAAATTCAATAATAAATCTAATCATTAAAATATCCCATCTCAGAACAAAATATTTGTAATAATTTATTGCGATTATTTTTACTGAAAACACTGGATTTGTGAGGAGGTTCTGCTGAACTAAAACCTGAAGGCGAAACACACTTTATACCGAAACATGACTTAACTTAATTAACGTGAGTATAAAGACTATTAAAAATAGAATTGCGTATAAAATTGGGTAATACGTAATACAGTAGAAGACAGATAAAAAAAATAATAAAAAAGTTTATAATTCACGATTTATAGAAAAAGGAAATGTGTGTTGTTTTGCCACCCTAAGGCTCTATTTATGTGATTTTAACAAAAAATCAACTTCTACTCGTTTCGTCTTTATTGCTAGAATAATTGTTGGATCTTCGTCAGATGGTCAGATCCGGGATTAAAAGTCTGAACTCGAGTGTCTTCTTGAGATCCCTCGACCATCTGAACTTCGTCAACATGTCGATTAACCAGATCTTTTTTCTCTCATGATCTTTTGATGTCCTCCAGTTCAGAGCAGAATTCTGAAGAATGTTTCAGTCTCGTGTTCTGATCCACTGAGAGGGTTCCCATGTCAAGTTTCATATAAAGATGTGCTTTCATTCTGTTATGACTGTCTTGAGTCTTAAGAGCACAACTCACTTTCGCCTACTCAGTTGATAGTAGCCACCATATCAGGGTTATAATGGGCATTATCCCACCATTGGTGTACAGCCGCTTTATTCATAGAGAGCATTAAAATCCTATAACTGGAAAGCACCTAGTTTAAATATTTTTTTAGTTATTACATACTACTCGAAAAAAAAAATGTGAAAGCTTTTTTCCTTAAAAACGCCCAAAATTTAAATTTAATTCCGAATTTTATTTAAGTTCAGAATTGCACTATAGATAGACATGATGAATCTTTGTCTTGCATTTGAGATTTATTATCTCACTCTTGATTTTCAGGAATTATTTTAAAATAAATATTTGCTATGTATTGTATAGTGCATTCAGGGTCCTCATATCCTTACATTCCCAAAATACCAGTACTAGTCGAGGCCTTCATATTTACATATTTATACATGTTTTTGTGTGTAAATCATAAGAAATTTTAATTGTTTTTCAATATTTAAATTTTTTAAAAATTTATTATGGAGTGCTGCCAATGGGTAGTTTCTCTTTCTGCTGTACATGCCATGTTACTTGTTTCATATTTATTAATTGTATTTATCATTTAATACAGATGTAAATTTCAATAATAAAACCTAAATAAAAAAAAATACAGAGCCTAAATAAAAAAAAAATTATAAAGCCTAAATAAAAAAAATATTACGATTTTTACCGATCTTCCCTACTCCTCTTCGCAAATAGGGGCGAAAACGTAATTTTTAATGTTCTCTAAATGTAAGAAAGTGCTGCAGAATATTGTAGGTATTATGTATGGTATTTGTCTTGTATGACATTAGTATTGTAAGGTATTACTGTGAAAATATAAATTAAATAAACAACAACACAAACATAAGAATATATTAACAATTATACACAGATAGATATAAAATGTATAAATATAGTCTGAAGGCAGTCGAGTTTTCTAGTAATAAGAAAAATTCCAGTGTGACTTGTCGGAGCGCTTTACCACTTTTGCAATAACGTGGCTTATATTCTATTAAACGTTAGTTGATATTATACAAAATAAACTCAATAAGATTTTTTTTTTGTTCTGTTTTTTAATGAAAATGAAAAATAGTTTGGATTTTGTGAATTACAGCTTAATGTGGAAAATACGTTATGATCTTTAAATGTCACTTTGCTAAATTTTAATTAAAGTTTAATGTTTTATTATTCATTGTAATAAATATATCATTTATAATGTTATATTTATTAGTACTCATTTTTGAATAGTTGCCAGTACATATTTTATAGCGAGCGGCTAACATTTTTCAATATAGCTTTTTTTTTTTAATTCTATTCTCAGAGAATATGCTATTACGCCTATAAAATGCTAGTACGAAGGTCACTGAATTATTCAGAAAATAATTCAGGATTTCATGTTTTATTTATATTAACCCTGTATATAACAAACTATTAACATAGCCCTTCAATTATTCATTTGTATGAGTGTCAACACTTATTGGTCCTATTTAAATGAAAAAAGTTTTTTTTAATTTTTTATTTATGCCAACGTTTCAACCCAAACATGTGAGTCTTCTTCAAGGCGTGGTTTGAGCACTGAAGATGACCCACATGTTTGGGTTGAAACGTTGGCATAAATAAAAATTAAATTTTTGTTTTTAAAAAAGACTGCGTCCTGAATATTTGTCACCCATGATATGTAGAACAGTCGACTAACTTATTTCAATAATTCGAAAAAAGTTTTTATCTTCAGTAATATTTCACTAGTTGAAAATAATTCACTCTTCCCGAAGATATCAATGCATGAGCTCGTTTTACGAGTTTCAACTCGGTCGGAACCGAATCCAGAAGGCCAAAAACAGCAGTATGAATCAGGGGATCATTCAACGTTACTTTAAAAAAATCTAGATAGAGATCTTAGTTTTGAAAACAAAGATGGTAATGCAAGGACTTTTTACCTTGATAAAGATCTTCTGATAGCTTTGGTCGAAGAAAATCCCAGAACGCCTGTTTGAGAACTTGCGGAGGAACTCGACTAGTTCACAAATCGACCATCCCAAACCTCAACAGAATCGGAAAGACAAAAAAAAACTTGAATCTTTGAGGATTCCTCATGCATTAAACCTCCGCCCATAAAACCTTTTTCATAAAGTTTACGCTACACTTCTTTGCTGAAACAAACACAAACTTCACTCACACTACCTTTCAGAAATCTTGCCTACCAACTACCATTTTTATAGACATCTGTGCCATCTTTCAAATGATAAAGATTGATCATAATACATTAGAAAATGCATTTTCTCATTTTTTAATAGTAATGGTTCAACTATCTATTCAAAGAGCTAGGAAAAATTACCAGCACGTTGTCAGAAACGTATCGAGAGTATAGGAGCGTATTTTGATTTTAAAAAATAATTTCGTACCATTTATTGTATTTTAAAACCATAAACGTGCATTAATTCGTAGTCAGCACTATGATTAAGTGCATTTGGAATGGATAAATAAATAATCATTAGTGTTGCCCAACATCGGTCTTGGTCTTGCACTTTGCAAGATCAAGACCAAGGTTGGTAAAAAAAAAGAATTTTTTGTGAATAAAAATTACGGCAAAATAGTTACTAACCTTAGACAATTTTAATTCCTATATGTGAAGAATTGGTATAAATAATATACTTTTGCAATTGACTCTTACAATTTTTCATTCCGGCTTAGTTAGCTTTCCCCTATCTGAAAAATTACAGTACTATCCCTACAGTAATAGACTAATAGGTAACAGCAAGACTGTTGCCCAAGATTAACACCAAGACTGAGTTCACAAGACCAAGATACGTCTTGGTCTCGTGTTTGAGCTACACTATTAATCATAGGTCCAGAGATGGACAAATGCTGCTCTGATTACCGAGTACCAAGTATCTTACTCAAATTAAATTTACTATTGAGAATTCAATCACTACTTCAGTTAGTCGTTTGACATCAAAATGAAGTAGTAATTTAAATCTTTGCTACTTAAAGAAGGTCAGTTCTTGAGTAAAATACTTACTCAATACTCAGCGCAGTATTTGCCGATCTCTGCATGGATCTTATAACAAAATTGATGTTACTTACATGTGGTTAACATTCCATATGTGTAATACCTATGATAAGCATTGGATTAAAAAGTTTTGAACTTGATATCTGTGGAATCAGTAGTTTCCTACTCATTGAAACAAAAGGTCTACTTTGGTATTGTTAACAGAAAGTAAGTTGTCTCTTCAGTTATTAGGCGAAGAGAAACTTTTGAAATATGTTACGCAATTGACGAAGTGTGAGTAATGTTTGGCTATTCCAGTGGCGTGGCACGATAGTGGGGGACAGCACAAGGGTTCAGATATGGTGTCGTACGCCAAGCTGTTCAGGACCACCGAGGAGCAGCTTCAGCCCATCGAGGCCACTGTCATCGGTGAGTTTTTCAGTTTGAGTATCTATTATCTTATAATTACTATAACTATACTGATGCTCACGTTATTAGTTATAATAAGATCTTATATTTTGTAATAATAATATACTATGTTTTTTTCTTTTATATACACACAGTCCACGGTATAGACCCCTTTTTGATCAAATTAATAACTAAAACTTTCCGAACGTCTTCATTTTATCGTACCTAAAACTTTTTTATTTAAGGAAATTCTCGGAAATGATAAAATTTGTCAATTAAATGCTTTACTAAAAATACGTGAACTTTCTTTCATATTTCAATTTCAATAACAAGTCAAAGTGCATTTGTATGGTTTTATTATTATTATTATAAAATTATACACTTCATAAGAAGCTTTGATCTTTCCATTGATCCCCATTTATTTATTCCCCTTGCCAGAAATACATTTATTCAGCAATATAACATTCAAAAAAGACATATTGCTTTTTATACCTCTTGAAATAGAAAATCTCATCTTAGTTTCTTTAATATTATAGATTTTTTTTTCATTACTTAATTCACACATACAAAAAATAACAAATAGTCACAACGAATAGACGAGACAACAACGTATATTACCAAAGTTCGTATAATGATTTATTGAATAATCATACGCGTTAGATTAATAGCTAATAACAATATCAGGAGGATTACTGATGCGTTGTTAAAAAGATGAAATCGAATATCTTGTGACAATATAGCAAATGAGTCTGGTCCAACTCGAAGAATTGATGAAAGATGGTCTTAATCAGAACCTAGGGAAGGACTTAATTCTTTACAGATTTCTTCATTGAAATAAAATATCGAATCATGAGCTAATTTGGTCACAAAGTCTAGATAAAAAGGTGGCCTACAAAAATATTTGGCGTGACATTCACCGCCTACATGACAAAGTAATAAGTTATATAGGTCAAAAGGCCCAATATTTTTATAGGCCACTTCTTTACTCGATTTTGTGAACAAATTATCACAAAGATTCGAGTTGAATGCAAATTGGTATTCATGAGCTCTTAGTACCTCATTAAATTAATTATTTAATCACAAGACGCCACATTTATGAATATTTTCGTTGTTAACAAAAAGTTATGGCTTACGATAAAATGAAGCCTCTCCAAACAACAACCGAAGTCTTGCATTCCTGAGTATAAACAATACAGTACAATTGAATACAGTACAATAAAACAAAATAGTTCAACCAAAAATTATAGGTAATACCAATTTATAACATAACACAATAAAATATTCATTCAATTCTAAAAATATTTATCATACAAATATTTTTAAGAACATTGGTAATAAATCATATAAACTGTATAAAATATATAATCGAACAAGTTTTTGATATATATATATATATATATATATATATATATATATATATATATATATATATATATATATATATATATATATTTAGTACACATCGGTAATCTCATTTTTTGACAATAAATGACCTCAATCTTAAGACAGTGCCTGGTGTAGTAAAACAGATTCGTGAGGAAGTATTAATTGTCAAATTTTTCATATGATTTGATGTGGCAATATTGACGGAATGAGGCTGGTATTGTTGACAGAAAGGAATATAATTCGGCACCGGATTATAATATGGACAAGGTCATCGGATTCATTTATATTACAAACTGAAAAAAAAATTTGTCTTGAAATAATAAAACACATTATCAAATGTTAACTTAATATAGTGATTGTCAGATAATCCAATTCGGACAAATATTTTAGTCATAAAAAAGGGGGAATTTAAAGTGATATTTATCACATACAGTGTAAAAAAGGAATATTTATACAAAGAATAATTATAAAAACATATTTTGTATTTAAATATGTTATTTTAGTGTTTTTTCTTTTTCAATAGAGACAAACAGTTTTTTTTTTCGTTTTTTTTTATTGAGTTTTAGAAAGTGGTGCATATTCTTTCGACTAATACATAAACTTTACTCTACCATCACAAAAAGTGAATAAAAATAATAATAAATAATATACCACCAAAGTATATGTATAACATTCGGACCAATGGAGATTGATGAAGTACCCTATTATCGCTATGGCCCTGAAAAACTTATAGAAAATAGAAATATAAATTTTTTACTGGGATCTAAATATAATTACGGACCATAGAGTATTGCATAAACGTCCGGGTATCTTGTTTATAAGCAAAATAAATAAAACTAGAAAAATCGTAAACATAGCAGTGCCTTCTGATACCAACATGATAACCACTAGGGCCGAAAAAATCAGAAAAATATAAAGAACTTGCCTTCGAGATAAAACACCACATAACTTAGAAAAAGTGAAGATTACTCCAATAATCATATCTTCTAATGGTTGAATATTGAAAAGCACAGTAGAGGATACCCGAAAACTTCGACTTCATTTGATGCATTTCAAAGCAGTCCTGCTCGATACGATTGTTAAAAAGTTTCTAAATAAGAATTTTATTTCTTTCTTGCGTTCATCTACATTCCCTTGAGTGTTTTTTCCAGGATGTGGATGCTATTCCAGAAATCTAAGCAAATAAAACTATAATAAATAAAATACTTAAATATCAACACAATGTAAAAGAGGAGCTTTTTTCCGTCTTTTATACTCTAAGCAAACTGGGCTCTGAATTTTAGAATTTTTCTGGCTTCCAGAAGTGGATGGAAGAACTGCCGAAAAGTATGATACTTTCAAACTTTTACGGGACTTGATTATCATAAAGTAAATATTTTTTTTCAAAACAGTTTATTCAGATGTGTTTATTTTTTCTCATTTACACTTTCATGAACGGTTCTTCGCGGACTTTGGAGAGGAAAATGGGATGAATTTTCGAAATATTCTGCGTATTTTCCGTCTTCAAAGTTATTTTACTGTCTAAAGGCAACGTGAGGTAAAATATAAGCTTTATTAAAATTAAGACTTTATTAATAATAAAGGTCTGTAATTATTCAAATGCTTGTTTAATTAAACTAAAAGTATTTGGAATATAATATTAGTTTATTGTATTTTTATTAAAATTAATAGTAGATTTTGTATTTTTTCCTTTGAAGCGTTATTGTCTGTTGCGCCCGTGTATTAATAACAATCCACTTAACATTAATTGAGGACTTGGAGTTTGCTCGCTATTGCAGAAGATGTTATTAATTGTTGTTGATGGCCTGCAGTTTCGCAATTTATTGTATCTATAAATAGCGAAATAGCATTTGATTGTACGTTGGTGCAAGTATTTCTGCTGATCATTGTAGTTAATAATCAAAATCTATTTTTCGATTTTAACCTTGGAATGCAACTTCTTGTGCTTTGTATGCATCATAAAATAGTTTTCTATTCGGCACCTTGCATACATAATCAAGATCAAACTGTTTCATTATTTTACGAAGAAGGTCAGTTGCTGAGTTATATATGAATATGATTATAATTTATCAGTTTCAGAGTTATCGTAGTCATGTTAAAAAATAGTTTTTAATCTCCTTTTTGTATCAATAATTTCTTGATATGTTGTGTTATTAAATACTTTTATTTTTGTGAAATGCGTTTCATTCATGAATTTTTTTTCACTTTATTTATTTTTGCACCTGTCACAGATATCTGTAGTAATTAGGTAATGTGCTCATAAATTTGGTTACGTCCGATTTCTTTTTAGTCACAGAGTCATCAGAGAACATGTCGTACATTAGTCTATTGTCAAATCGGCTTATTTTATTATTAAAAGTGGAATAAATAGTACTTTCGTGTCAATGGTTTTTTGGTTATAGTTCGCTATGTAAACTCTTGTTATTCACATAAAATGAGGACCTGTTATTAGACTTAAAATGGGTATATAAAAGGTTTGTAGTTTATGTATATATGTATTTTTTCTTAACTGTAAATATGTGAAGCGTACACCACAAACATGAGTTATAAAAGAATAGTAATTTTAATTAAAGGAAGGAGATGGTCCAGGGTGGCTTCTTCAAGGCTAGAACGGACAAGATACAAAAAGGTATACAGAATTGTGGAAGTTACATAATATTTAGAGAAAAAAATTATAAACAATGTGAATAAGCTTATTAAAATTATAAACAGAAAGTACATTAAAATATAAACAGAGTAAGCTAAGTAACAAGCTCCAAAACTTAAGTAAATAGATGATAACAAATGTTGTAGTGCAATATATAATATATGCAAATGTGAATTTACTTCTGCAGATCAACAAGAGAGATTGTAAGAAAAGGAAAAAGGATATATATGAAATAATAGACATAAAGAAACGTTGGCTCTTAATAAAATAGTTTTGCCACTATTTAGCCTATTTTTGACCTCCACCCCGGACCATCTCCTTCCTTTGTAATGCAACGGTCAACTATGAAATATTCAATAAGTAATTTTAATTATTTGTTTAAGTCTTCATATTCCGTTTAAAGTATGGATCCACTGCTGAGTCTAAAATAACGAGCTAAATTTAGTAACTTCTGCGGAATTCATGAATAATTAATACCTTTTAATTTAGATTATACACACGATGGCTATGTGACGAAGTATACCTAATGAACTGAATAATATATAAAATCTAATGGACCATATATTAGTGAAAAACCTGAAGACTATATAAGAAAACCTGAAATATTTTTATATATTTAAATTAAACTTACATCATGTACTGTTTTTTTCCTCAAGCTGATAAGGCTAATTAGGTTATCTAGGTTAGGCTACTAAATAGTTGTCTCTTGTCGGTCTGGTATTTCGGGAGAAAAGCTGGTTCAAACTTACCTGGACTAATTTTTTTTTTTATTTATTTATTTAGACATATAATATTCTGTCACAGGGACAATAATTATATTGATAATGAACACATTCAAACCGTATATACAAAAAAGAAACAAAAGTAAAAAAGTAACTAAATAATAATAAATAAAAACTATATATAATAAAAAAAATAAAATAACCTAAATATAAGTAAATTCAAAACATAAAAATACAGTCATACCTATATACAATATATACAATCGGGCGGGGAACCCAAATCCCTGCGCTACTCTCTCAACCGCCTCACCGGTGCTAAAGCCGGTGTAGTCTGAGCGAGAGCGCTTTAGCCACATACACTCATGTCTTGAGTGGAGAATCTGGCCATTGCCAGAACTCCAAAATAAATACTATAAAAGTTCTCTGGGCCACTGCCGCTTCAACCTTCGAGGAGGGTTGTAGGGATGAGTGGAACTAGATAGGGATTGGGCTAGGGGATTCGGATGATTGATAAGGTGCTGATGGAATTTTGAAAAATTTTCAGGGATAAGGTCAAGGCCAAATGGGATATTAAGGTCATGGTGTAGGGTTTTGTTGGTTACATAGAACGGAGCATCGACTATTGTTCGGAGGACTTTGGATGCGTTTGATGTTAGAGAATTTTACTGTCCCCCAAAGTTCAAACCTGGACTAATAATGAAAAGTTTAAGGATTAAGTTGAAAATATTTAACAAATTTCCTTAAAATCGTTAGAGCAGTTTAAGCGTCTTGAACATGTGTTTTTCGATTATTGCACATATAATAATCGATTTGGTACACGGACATCGTTGGTCGAAACGTTATCTATCTCACTCCTTGTCGATACTATCCGTGTGCTACCTGGGGCTTAATCAATTCGTCACCACTTTTCTAGGCCCGTTATGCTAGGTCTCCACCTCCTGACATCATTCTGAGAAGTGATCCACCTCTCCTTCTTGGTCCTCCAGGTTGTCAACTGATGCCATCCTGTGTTGTCTGTATCTATGTTATTATAATCTATGACTGGTCAGCCTTGTTATTTGAAATTTCGGGATACTAGAAAGCTGTGTGGACCTCTAGGTAGCCGCATTTCATGTAAAGGTTATTTTCTTTATTGATATAGACATATCTTCCTCGAATTTCTGCAATTATTCCGCTAGCTTAGTTTTCGCAGCGGTCGTACCGACAGCCTAAATGCTTCTTCGCCCAGGATCGTGGTAATTAGTGTTACCTAATGCAAGATTAAGACAAGTTTTGGTCTTACATAGTACAATTTCTAGTATTATTAACTGTTTTGCCTTCTTTTATATTCACAAAAAGTATCTTCTTTTTTTCTACCAGTCTTGGTCTTGTTTTTGCAACACTTATGTGCTGTTGTACCGGTTTTGGGTAACACTAGTTAAATTTTAAATTTACCGCAGAAATCCAACGTTTTCCTACACAGTACTTGCAAAAAAATATGAGTAAAGATATTACGTAAATATTTATTATTTAATACATGCAATTTTTTATTTTTAAGGATCAAAAATAAAACATGTTTGGCCCATTTAAGGCCCATTGACTCTCTCCATTATGGAGGGATGGAGACTTTGCAACTACCTCCATTCTTCCTAAAACTACTGGGAACTCCTCAAAGAAACCTCCCGCTCAGGAAGATCTGAAACATAAAGAACTCCTGAGGACTGGACATAAAAACTTTACTACCGTTACAATATTTTCCTTCCCTATTTAGGGTAAGCACACCAGTGATGGGCATAGCTAAGGAATTTTTGTCTTTTTTGGCTTATGCCGCCGTAATTATTATAGTTCTCCGTTGGACATCTAGAGTATCCTTTTTCTATATAAAACTTTAATAGTGAAAAAATATTCAGTTATGCAGATATAAACTCCATTTAAAAATACATCTTTTTGCAGTAGTGATGGAAACCCCGAAATAGTAATGGACAGGGGGTCGGTACCAATAATAGACATGCCTCAGACAAATTCTAAAATCTTTTTTTAATTATAACGATAAGACAACATAAACGTTCAACTTGCTCTTATTAATACAGTTAGTAGGAAGGTATGAAACACACTGATCTCAAGAGCACTAAAGAAACAACAATAGGCGTTTTAAACTTTCTTTTGGGAACTTTGTTCTTACAGTTGTCAATAGAAGGCATTGTACTTTAATCTAGAAAATACTGAAATCTTTAAACCAACAAGGAACCTTATTATTTGAATTTAAAGTCCAAGCTGTCCATCACTGGACCCCCTGTCAATAACTGCTGCATTCACCATATAAAAACTAGCCAATTTATTTTTCGGTTTCGAAAAATGTTAGATAATGGAGTACCTTTTTCAATTAAACTCCATTGTTATGAAGCTTCCGAATAAATCAACTCCTTAAAAATCCATTTTTTTTCCAACCCAGTCCTCAAATTAGAATAAAAGTAATATGTTTTCATTACAAAGCGAAAACCAATAACTTTCTCTTGAACATAATAAGTGTGTAAAACTTATCGAATTGTATTTATTTATTTTGTTCAAAACATGATTCGTATGTTACTTCGTTTTATAGATGAGCAAATTATTCAAATAATTTAAATTTACACAGTTTGTTAGTTCAATTTGATACCGCTTGTCGCCTCTCTGTAAATATACAAGTGATGTTTGTTCTGTGGACTCTGAGCAAATAGTGGTTGTTTTTCATTGAGTTTTCCATTTTGGTTGAAGTGTTTGTTAATGTTTATGGTTAGGGTTAACCTAATTTATTTAGAATGGTATAAACACATGAATTTTAAAAACAAAATTATGTCAAAAGCAATTATTTCAAAATAATTTCTTAAAAATATTAATGATCAAATTATTTTCCCTTTTTTTTTTTCTACCTAAACTAGGACCGATGTGTGGTTTTCGACGGATCTGTACGTTCCATAGCTCCCTAAGTCCGAATAAATCTAGTACCCGCTTCACACAAATTTTATTTTCCACTGTACTTTTAAAACCAAATTATTGTTTGACAAAATTGGGCTGTGGCAAAAAAGTTCTCTATTAGCAATATTAGAGTGCATTGAATATTTTACGCTGATCTTCCACATTAGTTTATTAGTCAAATTATCTCTTTGATCCATTTTCAGGAAAATAAATCTAATTGATTTTTTTTTTTGGCATATTTAAAGATATAAAAAATTTCTGAAATAGGTAGAAATTGATACCGTGTCAAAAAAAAAAAATTAGTTTTTACGAGATATAGAGAAAGACATAAGAAAAACTAATTACATCTAAGAAAAGCAATAATATATGGGAAGTTTTATTTTATATGAAAATATGTTCTATTCGTTATTCGTTTCACCTCAATCAGGAACTTAAACAACAAATATGAATCTACATAAGTCTGATAGATTATTTGCTTTTATAAGAAAAAAATCTAGTATTTGGCTTTAATAATCTCGAGACATATTTATATAAAGCTAACAATATTTTGTAAACCAATGAATTGATATTCAACAACTCATCCCTGAGAGGTTTTCACTTCAACTTTAGTTTTGGATGATTCGTTATGCGGTATAGTATGGAATACTTGACAAGTCCCTATGAGGTCAGAAGACTTTTTTTCGTTACTTTTTAATGTTACTTATAAACTTATGAAAGTTACTTCCTATCTCGATTTATTTTTATCTAGAGGGAGAGAAGTATCTATAAAAATATCATGATTAAACTGGACATTTATTTAGAAAAAAATAATTTAAATTATTTAAGCATGTCTCGGAAGTAATGTTTTTTTATTATTATTTAATAGATTACAATCTAGCTTATTCGGATCCGACGTATACTAAACCCCAATTGAGTAATAAAAAATTCATTTACCTTACAATACTTTTGTTTTATTTTTTTCACTGTAACCAATAAAAAAAATCACTATAAGAAATTACCGTTGCATTGCTTTTATTTTGCTCACCCACTAACGAAGATTGGCAAGCACTATAATCGTTCATGAAGAAAAAAAAATTCTATTTTTTTAAAAGATTTTTGTGGAAATGGTCAAGTAATAATTATATTAAATTTCTTCTCTTTATCACGCTTACGCATGCGCAAACATATTTTTTTTCTTGAAAAAACGGCTCGTCCAATTCGGTTTAATGTTGGCAGAATGTTGGGAACTAATTAATCCATGGTACAGACTACTTTTTATCAAAGTACTAACATTGAAATATAAGCAATTATATCCCCAATTTAAATCGTACCTACCTCTCTGACGTTTTTTCTCGTATTTTATTAAATTATCCTTGAAGCAGTAGATTACTCAGCACAAAGCCGAAACTGCCGAAACAAAGGAACAGTAAAGGGAACTATCGATTCCTGGTCCTATAACTCGATTTCTGCTCCTTTTTCATTAGGATTGTCTTCTATTTGGGCTTTTGTCCTGAGCATTATCTCCCTCTGCCAGGGCGTCCTAAATGAGAAACTTTTAACAGAAACACTAAAACTTAGAAACGGCTTTAGCCAGTTAATTTAATTTAGTTAATTTATAATTATAACTTGTAAGCAGTTCTCATAGAATTGTCGTTATACTTCAAATTAGATTTTAATTGTAGAATTTATTTTTTATATAATCACAAAATTTGGTTAATTTCAAAACTATATTTTTGAAAAATAGGCACCGCTAAGTCCATACAAATTGGACTAAGACCTAAGTTCTATTCTTATGGTTGTGAAGTGTTGAGTGTGGCATTCTTTAAAGCTTAGTACACACTTGTAGACATTGTTGCACGATTTGTCTAGAGACACCGTTCTTTGTCTTGTCTAGCCTCCGCAATAAGATGTGAATTTCTCACCCAACCATGGAGGACATAGTTTTGTGCGGAATGAGTTTCTGCTTAGTGCTAATCACAATTTAACGAACGCGAAAACGCAAACGTTGGTAGACGCGCAAAGTGCTCGTAGAAGGACCTAGGTTCTGTTATGCATTATTAAATAAACTAATAGAAAAGGAGACATCACGGTAATCTTCAATTAGTTTTAAAACTTTCTCGTTAGACCAAAAGTTTTCAAAACAACTATAAAACTTTGGCAAAGAACTGTGAAAAGCTGATCCAACCACTCGATAGCTAGAGGCAGACTAAGACATGTCTCATCTGCAGACACCGAGTGACGTCCACACTGTCAAAATGATGCACAGCATGTCTAATGTTGCATAATGTCTCTCATTCCGATCGAGAGAGTTTAGAGCTGCGATTTTTGGTTTCCCTAACAGGCTTGTAGACGGGGATTTGTCTACAGGCATGTAGACAAATCCCCGTTGTCTACCTAAACAAACTGAGACATTTCTCAGAGACCAAAATCGCTCTACATGTCTAGTGTAGGCTAGGCTTAGAAGAAACGAAAAAAAGAATTACAAAATTTTCAAATAAGATCTTGAAAACTTGCAATAAATGTCCCTTGATTAGTAAAAAATAGTCAACATCGTTCTAAACTTTGAACAAAGACACTAGACATATTCCTTTAGAAAAAATTCTTTACCAAATATCATTCCTAGTTACCAGACAAGCTTTTCCTTCTATAGTTAGAGGGACAAGCCTGGCTTGGAGGTTCCTTGCCTGATTTTAAATAGTGTATATAAGTACTTCTGCGTGTTATTTTTTAAAATTTATTTATCTTCAAGATATTTTGTTTATATTAATTGTATCTACTTTTTGACTACTATTTAGTTGGTATTTTACTTGTTTTTATTTTATGTATTTATATTTTCTGTATATATAGAGTGAATGTATTCTTATCTCACTATATGCATCATCCATATGACAGAATGTTATATTGCTCTATAAATAAAATAAAATTTAAAAAAAGTTACTAGTAGTTAAAGGAGCAGTAGCTTTCAACGTAGGACCTCTTCCGTAAACTGGAACCGAGACTTTTTCAAGACATTCTAAGTGAATTATGTTATCTTTATATATATATATATATATATATATATATATATATATATATATATATATATATATATATATATACTTTCTTTTCCCTTATTTCTATGATATAGGCACGTATGCTATTTTTCAAAATTTATATTTACTTTTTTATTTTACACGTTAAGCTTTATTTTATTTTTCTAATGCTTCATTTATTGTATTATTGTTATTATTTTTCATTGATTTCAGAAACTTTACTAGTCCGTAGATATAAATATCATGTATCTTTAGGTGTCTATTGTTTGAATCTTTCATTATTGTCATTTATTTTTGTACATAATTTATTATTGTTGATATTCTTTATCATATAAAATCATTAATTATAAAGAATATCCTTAATATACTTTAATATATATTATATTTTTGGTATGAATAAATGGCTTTTATTGTAGGAAAAATATAATAGTAATAGGGTATACAATAATTTAACTTTTATTTAATCGTTTTTTTTTTTTTTCCTTTATGGGTGTGTCCCCAAATTCATATTACTGCTATCATACCTTGTATTGTTATTGTTATTTTTTTATTTATTTGTTATGGGATATAGTATAAAATAAATTATAAAAATACACAACTTACATTTATGAATTTTATTGTTTTCAAAATTATTAGAAGCATATGGAAAACAGGAGATAGGAGAGTTGGATGTTTTGGTTCTAGATAAAGAGGCCCAGCATCACTCTCCGACGTCATACCCCTTCCGATCCGGTGAATGGTCAGGTACCCACATTAATCATGCCATGTATACCCCAAAAGGGTCTCCGCCGCGCAGAATGAATACCAACTAACCCGGCATAAAGGAATAATGTTTCTTGCATCATGATCTACTTCCCTTTACCGTCCGCTTCCATAATTTGATTTAAAAGATAGTATGGAATAATTATACGGAAGATTGTTTAAAGACTTAATAACATTTACTTGTTTATAATGAAATATAATTTACACATTTATAAATATATCACGTGTTCGGAATCTATCAAAATTATACTTTAATTAAAAATTAAATTAACCAGTAAAGTCCAATGAGAACTCTCACTCTCACTTTATATAACTGTTATTTTTCCTGATACTTTGAATGAATGAAAAATAATTTGGTTCTAGGACTAAAGTCACCTAAGAATAATGATAAAGTTCTAGAAATTATATACATTTTCAAGCATGTAGATATAAAACAAATATCAAAAAAAAAAAATTAATTGTCACTTCTCCTTTAACAGTTAACAAGTAATTATAATTACAAAATATGAAAATTCTTTCATGGTTAAGGAAGATTGTAACATGAAGTGGTGGTATGGGAGTTATCTAAAGGAATTTGTGGACGAGGATTGAAGCATGGCAGTAGGTAAGGAGTTCCGAAATGAAGTAGTACGAATGAAGAAGGATATGCTGAAGTGTTTTTATGGGAAGGGATGTATCGATCTGTGGTAAATTTACCGGGTAATAGACACTTTAAGAGAAATTTCCATCATTAGTCTGAATCACAACTTTAATTTTGATGGTGGGTCTTTGAAAATGAATTCAATTATCTGCAAATTTAATGTTTTGTCCAATTTTCTTTTCTTTCCAGTCAATTAGTTAATTGTTCATGAAAAACTTAGGAAATACTAAAATCATATATTGCATTTGTAATAGATACCCACGTTTTAGGATCACCAGTTTTTTTATTTTTTTTCTCTTTAAGTATGTTTTCGCACCTGTCACGGTATTGAAAATGACCAGATGTGTTGTGATAAAATAAGGATTGATATGATAGGCATGAGGAAGGATAGTACCCAGCAGCAACTCTTCCTGGTCATTATTTTCTTCCTTGATTTAGATGTGGAGATTTCTCATCCAGCTACTTTTTAGTCTCCTCCTGATGGGCATGTAATCCGTGGCCTTGTCGTTTATAAGTCTGTTTGTGTGTCCGTGTAGCTTGTGATGAAAACGAGAGTAGAGAGTACCTATGGGTTGGCCTATAGTTGGTTGTCGTATGTCGTTATGTAAAGTTTTGTTGTTGATCCAGGTTTTTTGTATAATTAAAAGACTAATAATAAAAAAAACTGTTTTAAACTATAAAATGGCAAACTACAGATGGATGAATCAAAGTTCCAAAAATATCTCCTAAAGAAAAGTAAGAAGTAAACCTTCCTCAACAAAGACACAGTCTCGCTTCATTAAAAAATAAACTGGGAATCAACTATTGTGGCATGATTTCATTCAGAGCCGTCGCGTGACTTTTTGGCGCTCGGGGCAAAATTATATCATGTGCCCCTCACATCCCTCAAACTTGGCCAGCTGTATATTGTCTCATGTTTAAGAGTTATATTTATGATACTTATAATATATAATATAGTAGTATGTAATAAATTAGTAGTATATAATATTATTAATTAGTTATACTTTCGCACTTCCGTTCATGAGAAATAAATCTCTAGCCAGCTTGTTGTAATTTCTCAAACAACTGCAAGTGTAACTGATGTTAGAAATAATTGTTTTCCTAGTGATGTGTGATGATTGAAGATATGTTAAAATATTTTGTTATAAAAATATATGATTTTGTTTAAAAAAATCCAAATTTTAAAGTATAACCCTCATGGTGCTTGAAATTCGTAATATAGATTAATTATCAGATTTCGCTTTATGAAAACGAGACTCTTGTTTTGAACATTAAAAAAAGTCAATTAATCCAAGAAAAAATGTAATCTGAAAATATTTTTTTACGTAATTATTTGACTTTTTAGAAATTATAAAAACAAGTAAAGATTTTGTAGAAACAATTTTTTTTATTAATTTTCTTTTAATGAATGTTTCAAAAGTGATGATTTCAGTTGATTGAAAAAAAATAACTGGTACTATTCCAATAAATATTTTATTCTATTCTATTTCATTTTCTCCAATGATTTTGCCTTATGTAATCCTTAATACATTGTAAAGAAATTCAGTGTTCATAATCGTTTTTAATGAAGGAGAATTGAACAACTGCGTGTACCAATATAGGCTACCACCATGATGCCTCGATTGAGCAACACAATGAATTCTGAGGGTCATTCTTGGCTATTTTAATCTTTTTATAAGAAATTAATTCAATTCCAGATCATATAATGTGTCTGATTTATGGGTTGCCTTGAAAATAACTTCTGCTTCATCACTACTGAATGGAGGGGGGAGAGAGCTAACTATATTCGTGCGTGAAGTTAAAAAAAAAAAATGAGCTAATAATCGAAAATTTCCTATCTCGGTTTGTTGTATAGATCAAGCAACAAATTTGATTCCGTCTTTGCCTCTCTTTTGTAAATTCAGGCGACGGACATATCACCTGTATTTTCTTCTAATATTCGACATTTCACCATTGAAAGTAACTACTTCGATATTATCGACTATCTTTATTGATCCCTTCGATATTTTAATATTTTATTTTGAAAATAAAAATTCGATATTTTTCAATGTGATCGTTAGAAACAAATTATACTAATTTTTGTAGAGAATGTGAAGAATGTTGTGCGTAGTAGTGAAAAAATATCGACTGTCGATGGCGTAAACTAGAAGTAAACTAAATTTGCCTAAATTTGTTAGATATAACCTCAAACCAAGGTCACGAGTGTCAAAGAAATCTATGTTGGATGTAAATAAATTAGAATTTAATTAGATGAAGCCGATCTATGGGTGAATGCAAGGCATAATTAGAAATGGAAATTTCCTTAAAAAACTGAGAAAGACGAAGATGGACAGAAAGTAGAAAATTAATTTTACTAACGAGGGTGGAATAATTCATAATTACATTAATTAATTTAAAGATGAAAAGAAAATCTTTTTCCATGCGCTTATGTGCTACAGAATCAATATTTATATTGATATTAATATTTCAAAAATATTTCGATGAACATATCGATTATTGATATTGGGGCTTTGCACAGGCGAATTTACGGGGGAAGAGAGGAGGCTTTCGGGCCGCAACCCCTTCCCCAAAATGGTAAAATATAACCATGTTTTATCGAAAAAAATATTTAAAAAGTATCTCTTAAAGTATTATTGTTTAAAAGGGCTTTAGGACACAACACCATTTCATATAGGTAGTTAGTTTCTTTCTTTTTTTCCAAAGTAATTATCGTTATTTTTATGAAAAAAAAAACTTTCGGGCTGAAGCCCCCCCAAAAAAAAAAAAAATCCTGGATCCGCTATTGCTTGATATGACTGTATCTCAAAAAGAACAATTTGGCCTAAAGTTACAGTAAGGTTATGCTTGGTTTAAACAAAATTATCGACAAGATACCGATTTCATCTTATTACATCCAGTACCTTAAAAATAAAAACAGTAAGGGATTCACAAACGTATTTTACTTTGATAGGCCTTGAACCAAAAACGGCTGTATCGATTTACCTTTGAGTAGGAAGAAATTTCGGAAATAGTTAAAACTATGATGACTGTGAAATGTGGCAGGCTGTAAATACAAAAGGGAGGTTAAATTTATATCATATTGTATCTGATTTGTTTAACTATCCATTACTCCTACTACCAAAAATCCGATTTGATGATAGTTTCAGGGATTATGTGTTTTGAAATCTACAATTGGATGATTCGGTATTGATTTTATCGAATGCTGATTACATTATTCGCTTAGGCTTACATTTTTCCATGACAAGACTATACTTTTAAAATGGTTTCTTCAATTGATTTTATTCCCAAACCACAAGTCATAGACTTTGAAATATAGATCGATGATAGTTGACTGGATTTGTCGCAATAGTGACAGCTATTGTCTAGTTAATTACATCTTGTAGCCAATGGACAATGAATTGTGATCCTATCTTACCTAATTAACTGTAGTTGTAATTGTGTGTGAGGGGGGGGGGGGAAGGGGAGAGGTGGTTCTTACATAAAGTTGTGTTTTTGTTATTTCTGAACTTAGAAATATTTTTTTAAAAAGTATTTATCATAAATTCTTGGAGGAGAAATAAAAATTATATAATTAAGTTGTTTAGTCTTAACTGGAGAAAATGTTTTAATCTTATTCTGGGATAAATTTCAAAACCATTTGCGTAAACAAGGACTCTGGCGGTATCTTACATGACCAGAAACTTCATGAGTTATGTGAAAAAGCTTTTGTATACTTTTTTTTTTACATAATAGGTAGGTACCTACTAGTTATTGATATTATTTTTATTTATTTTTTTGTTTTATTAAGCAACATTTCGTCACATGGATGATAATTACAGAGAACAAAAAGTTCATTCACACCATATATAAAGAATATATAAATCAATTAAATAAAATAGAAACAAAATAACAACTAAATGTAATCAATAAGTAAATAAAATAAAATAACATGAAGATAAGTAAATTTAAAAAGAACACAAATATATCTATATACACTATTTACAACCAGGTAAAGGAATTTTGAGCCAGGCTTGTCCCTCCCACTATGGAGGGGAAAGTAGGACTCTAGGAGATCCCTGCACTAAAGTCAGAGTAGATTGGACGAATGCCCTTTAACCACGCACATGGAAACAACACGGCAGTGGAAAATCTGACCATTTTCCAGGTACAATATTACATATTACAAAAAGTTGCTGGCCCACTACCGTTTTAATCTTCTTCGAGGATTGAACGAAAGGATGGTGCAGATTGGTATTGGGCAAGGAGATTTGAATGAAATGTAAGGTTCTGAAGAAATTTGTAGGATTTTTAGTTCAAATGGGATATTAAAGTCATATTGTAAGGTTTCGTTTGATTTGTTGATATTAAGTTTCTAGAATTTTTATTATTAATGAATTGGCTTTCTTAAAATAATCACATAGCTTTTCTGTATCCACCATTTTTATGTCCTTACCAGGTTTACTTTTAGCGTGTGGACGATGTTATGGCTTCTTGACAATTTTACCATGAGACATATTGTAGCCGTGTAAACGAGTGAAAAAAGAAGAATGGATTTGTTATATTATTAACGTTTTTTACCAAGTGATTAACAGAATATTATAATTTTAAAATGATAAAAGTGACAATTTATTTACCCGTTATATTTCTACCCTCTCGGCTACAACAATGAGCTAGATACCTTTTAAAATATCCTGCAATAAGGAAAAGTAATTATGAATTATTCGGTATTAAAAAAAAAAAAAGCATTATGAGAAGAGAGGAGTTATTATCAATTACAAAGGGATCTTTTGATGAAGGCTCTTCCTTTATTGTATGTTATTGCCTCGGTGACAATATTCTCCGCCTATTCATTGAATACCGTTTAAAAAACAATGATGGCTTCAAGCACCCCCTGGAAATATTAAATGAATTCTAAAGTTATTAAAGAAAGAAGAAGATAAAAAAAAAGTAAAGAAAAAGCTCAAACAGAAGGAATCAGTAATTGCGAAAATGTAATCGGAGAGGGGTATCAAATAGCCCTCGATGACTTTAAGCATCATCTCTTAGCATTTAATATCCCTTTCCTCTTATATTTTTTTCCTTCCTTTCTTCGCCCCTAGGCTACTTCGTGCGGTGGAATGGAATAAATCTCTTCTTTTGCCCGGCCAGTTGAGTGCTCTCAAAGGTCCAAGGGATGAATTAAACCAAAAAAAAAAAAGAAATTATGAAATAGCTATTTAATATAGGCAGACTTATACATTTAGAACAAGGTTAGTATGAAAGGAACTTTTTAAATAACAATTAAGTACTGTTCTAATACTTATGTCAGTTGTTTCTTTTCATTTATTGTAATAGTACAAAAACAATTTATTTTCCAAAGCCCTGGTTGCTGACTGGGCTGCGATAGTTTCCGAACATTCGAACAGGATTTCTCACTCGACTTAACTGAAATAGGTTGTCATACTACTTTTTTTATCGCCTTTCCCGCATTTTAGGCTATACCAGGGGTCTCCAAACTACGGCCCGCGAGCACCTCCAATCCGGTTAGATGAAGTTTTCTTTGATTACATGTTAAAATTATAAAAAATATAAAATTTACCAAATTATTCACACTAGAGGTTACTACAACATTTATTGTATGGTTTTTTTTCTCTAAGAAAGCTCATTTCTCAACCGAAAGTGTCATTTATTGAACAGGATTTTTTTTTTAATCACAAGCCATAGCCCGATTGATTCAGGTAGAGGTCTTATGGTTCTGTACGAGCATAAAATAACTTAATATATTACATATTGCTATTTTTAGATCAAAAGGTCGTATGTAACGATTTTCTATGTTAATTTTACTTATGCTAAAAGTGAAATTTTGTAGTCTTCTATTGGAATAAATAATCTGCTACTATGGAAAATAGTATAGGCAAATAAAATATGGAATTTTACTAAGGAAATAAATCATAAAGAAATGATCAGCTTTTTTGCTCTTTTTTTTTTTTTATTATTAAACACTTTATTCAGAAATATTACAATTTGTCACAGTTTAAGGACACTTATAATAGAGTTCAGAGATTGCATTCATACCGTATATACAAAAATATAAATAAATAAAGTAATAACAAAAGAATAAGAAAAAAGAACAAAAGAGTAAAGAAAAAAAAAAAAATATATACACATAAGTAAATAAAAATATAAATAAAAGTAAAACAAACACCTTATATAAAACATACCTATATACATTATTTACAATTTGCCAGGTGATCTCCGAACCAATCCTGTCCCCTCCACATGTGGAGGGAAAAGGGAGGCTTAGGAGATCCCTACGCTTCTCCCTCAGCCACTTCACTGGTATTTTAAACCAGCGGAGGATGAGTAAGTGTGCTCTTTTTAAAAAAATAAATAAATTTTTACATACGACCTTTTGCATTAACAGTAGCGATGTTTGGTATTTCTTATTCAAAAGAAGGATATAAACATTACATTGATTTTTCATTCCTCGAAGTTTTATTATGATTCTCAATGAGCAAGTAAAAATTAGGATACTGACTTAAAACTAATAAGATATTGACCTTTAATCTAATAAAGATAGGAACTATATCTGAAAGTCCTGAAGGGAGAGTATAAAATTGAAGATCTATGGAAGTTGTCCGTTGCTTGGGATGTCATATGTACCATCTCTCCTCCCCTCTCCAATCGGCTCATTTCGGGACTTGCCAACTTTCTCTACAACTTCTCTATTTAAAATTCATATCCTTCCCCGTCCGGCAGCACGGTTGTTACGGACTTCCTTTTTCTTTATACGACAGCCCCGCCGAAAGTTCTCAAAAGAAAAGAACTAAAAAGAGAAACGATGTTATGATTATCAACAGGAGTTTCTGGATACACAACTCCGGTTCTGAATATCCAGCCTTTGTTTAACTCAAAACCTTCGAATTGGAGTTATTCGAAAACAATTTTTATAACAAAAATTTTAAATATTAATAATTCCAGAGATCTGTTTTTGCAATATTTTCCCTCAACAACTGTTGTTAACGCCCGAAACTACGCATTTTATTTACCTTTCATTTATTTTGTTCTCTCCGTTTTACCCCTTTTTAAATGTTAATAATAAAATCTTTATTAAGTTTTTTGTTATGTAAAACGCCAAGTGACAATTGTCCCAGAAATGTATATAATTTTGTATATTAGGCATTATGCGATGTATTTTCGCGTTTGTATATACAAGCCAGCCAGGTATTAATACCCAGTCTTAGGTATTAAGACACCAAAATATTGCTATAAGACTTGCGGGAAGTCAGTCAGAAGCAAGCTTTCATAGACACAGGGTCTATGTATTTGGTCATAAATTCAAATTCTTGTTGATGTTATTATGATGGACAATTATTTTTTATTATCATTGAGGATTGTGTTTATGTTTTATTTTTATTTCAACTTTCGCACCATTGTTTCATTTTGTTTTGTTTTCAACATTTTGTATATATTTGTCCACTTTTGTCCACTATAATAAATTGTAAACGTTCAAAAGGGGAGAGGGAGAGATTCTTTATTTTCCATTGCTGATTTAATGAATATTTTTATTTATTATTATTTTGTTGTGCATGATTTTTTTTCTTTTACAGGTCACATTTTTTTTCTCATAAAGTATACCTTTATTCCTTTTATTTTTAATTTTACTCTTATTTTCTCCACCTTTGAGGAAACTCACGGAGGAAAGGTTAGTAATTTAATTTTGAAATATTCCTTACCCCTACAAGTATCTTTTTCAAATCAACTGGCAGTAGATAAATACACATTAGTTTTTAACAAGACTTATAGGAAAATTACTGGAAGCCATAAAAATATTGTATGAAAGTTATCGACTTCAATACTAAGCTAAATTAACTCCGTGGTACAAAGATCTTTTTATCAATTTATTAACATCAGCCAAAATTTCTTGAATGGCTTTAACTCAACGTAACTTACAACTTTTTTTTCTACCAAAATTCTCAGAAATTTGGTTTTCTTATTTAATTAATTAATTAATGAGGTATTAAAAACTTATAAGTACCAATTTTCTTTCCTCCTAAATCATTAAATAATTTGATCATAACAATTGAGAAAAAAGGTGGCCTACAAAAATATTGGGTCGTTTGGCCTACATATATTTTGACATATCAGTCATGGAGGTATCCACTCTCTTAATACCAGATCTATATCTATTGATCTATATATCCTCTCCCATAAAACCACTTTCTTCAGCAAAACCTTCATCATTCGTGCAATCTCCTTTTGAAACTCCATACCTATCGCCATACCTCAAACCACGTCCAAAAATTGTTTCAAACAACTCCTATTTCATCACCTAATGCACATTCAAACTTGTAGATTGTAAGATTGTAAGACCGCAAGCTCGTAATATTTTTATGTCACAGTTGCTCAGACAAAGTTAATTAGTAAGAGCCATTTTATTTTTATAGCATTTTTTTCTCTTAGTATTTGTCGTATATATTTGTATTTTCCTTATTATTTTTTTTGTAGATACTTTCACTTATTATTTTTGAAATGAAAACTTCTTTAGGCACGTTTTAGTTAAAACTTGTTTGAGGCAAAATACATTTGTATTTTCCTTAATGCCAGACTGACGAATATATTTTTTGAATTTTGTCTTATTATTCTAAGGGGACGTCAGTCCCTCAAAATCATAAAATTATTTTTCATTTCATTTCTAACTTCGAGTAGCAGTCTTCCACATCCAAACGAAACTCGAAGATTCGTATGTTCAAATTAACTGATCCTAGGGAAGAAATATTATCGGCAGTATTTATTATGTTTAATGGAAAGAATCCGAATACTACACTATTGTAATACCATAATATTCTTAGATTTCAAGTTTATTTCTTCTTCTTCTTCCTTTCCTTCCTCCTCATACCTTCCAGCGTGGAGGTGTAACAGGGCATTCCGAACTATAGCGAGTGCCCTTATCTCTCCTATCGACTCCTCTTGTTTATTTAACTATGCCAATCCCTTCCAAGACTGTCAGGGATGTTGTCATAATAATTCTGCTTTAAGAGCTGGTGATAATTTATTGCTGTGGACTGTAAAATTAGAGAAGTTAATGGATTGAAGAAGTGAATATGTAAAATTGATTGCTTTATTTTATTATATGTAGTTTTATACGGAGGTTAAATATAGGTGGGTTGGGATACTTGCATTTTTTCTTTTCTTCTTGTTCATCTTCCCTCTCATCCTTTTTTGGCCCCTTGCCGGCCGCTGTAGGTTTTTACTCCATTTTCATCAAATCAGTGGAATAACGAATTTTCTAACTGGCCAGTCTTGTCAATCTCTCACGCTACGTGAGCCTCTACACTTCAATAATGGCGGCGTCACAATAACAACTGAGGTATATATGCAGTATGCTCCAGATAACTGGAGTTTACTTGATTTAACTTAGATTAAATTTAAAATATAAAGTTTGATGTGTTCCCTAAACACCTCTCTTGATCGTCCTAACCTGGATATGTGGTCTTCGTATGGCTGTCGAGGTCTACCCTTAAATGTTTGGCCTGTTGGTCGGACTTATAAAACCTGAAAGTTATTTTAAATGTTTTCAGAGATCATAACTGTTAAGGGGTCTTTATTTTATTTCAGAGCAAAAGATGCAGAAAAGGACTCAAAATTATTTCGCAATCCTGTCATTATTGTTTTTACAAATTAATTATTTTTTTATGTTGGCTTTAGGTACCTTGTAGAATAGGAGCTTGCATCTGTATACTAGGGGCCAAGAATTATATAAAATTGTTTTATTATTATTACTTATGATTATTTTACTTAACCGTTGTACAGCTGTTACAAATACTTATATTTTAATAATGACATATCATTTTATATTTAAAATAGTTGATTATAATAAAATTTACGGTGTTTTAATGTTATGGATATATAGTTATATACTTAATTGACAGACATGAGCGATAGAATTTATATTCTATTCGAGCTGTGTGTTGCAAAAGTCTATTAATAGCAAACCTATTAATTCAGTTGGTAGGGTATCAGCACGTGCAAGGATAAATTGACACCGAATGTAGGCTAAACCTAGTTGTCGCCGCAGAGCGAGTACAATTTATTTACGATTGGCTAAATTAGACAGATAGAGCATTTTGATATATTCAGTCCCCTTTTAGGCATCATCTCCATTTAAAATCATCGGAAATCAATTATTCAACGGAGATTATTAAAAATATTTCTTATAATAAATTATTATTTTGCTTCCTCACAACCGAAAGCATTGTATTCGTGCGAAATGTTAAAAAAAAAATTATGTGCTCAGAATCGAAAATTTCCACTCGCGTTTTACGTTTCAGGCATCAAGGTTCAAATTTGGTTCGGTATATGTCTGTAGTCAAATCGATGTGACGGGCATATCATCTGATACCGTTTATCTGATGTTCATGAAATTTTCAAGGATTGTTTGGGTCGGTGCTTAGATAGTCCCATAACAATTTTATGGAATTCCATTCAGCACTTCCGCTTAAGGACGCGGAAACGTATTTTTTTAGATATGCCAATGTTTCAAAAACAGCTC